CAGCCGGGGCCGTGCAGGGCCAGGGGGGCCGGAGGGGCCAGGGCGCCGAGCGGCCCCGGGCAGAGGGGCTTGACATGGGCAAGCAGTGCCCAAACGTCGGTTTGGGAGCGGGAGCAGCTTCTGTTGTGGTTTTGTATTCCATTCTTTTAAATTTCAGTGCAAGTTGTGAAAGTTATGCAGGTCTTGTAAAACTGCACTGTTTTCTGGTGTGTGTCATTTTAAAAACAAAAAGAGATTGCTCAGGGCTGCTGGCAATAATCTCTTCAGTTGCTCTTTCTTTTCACAGAACCCCATACAAAATTAGGGATCTTTCCTAGAAACGGTGTATAAAGTAGCTTGAAATGTGATAAAGATAGTTCTTGAGCCCAGAGGAGCTGTATGGTGGATTCTATTTGTAAACAATGACGATGACAGCTCTCATAATGCTATTTGTTATGAAAGAACACGCTCTCAACCAAAGTGCCATCACAACAGACACCTACATCCAGAGGTGTGCTTCTGCAACAGAGTGCACACTTCCTTCGCATCCTGGAAGCTGAGGATTTGCATTATCTCGGAGCTCTGTGCCAGGATCTGCTATGGTCTGTATGTGCTTTGGTTTTGCAATTTGAGATTAAGTCTCCACGTCCTTCATTCATAAGTAAACTTTCTTTCCTGATTTTGATTTGCAAGGAATATGCAGGTACATTTCTGGAATAGTTATTTTAAGGTGAATTATTAAAAGTGCTGTGTGACTTCAAAATTTATTTTTATATTTTTCATCAAATGTGTGTCCTTGAACAGCAACATGTACAATTAGGAATGAGAAGAAAGCTTTAATCAAAAAGGCTAGTTTTCCTACTCTTACGTCTGCAAAAGCAGCTGATGACATTTTAGCATCTTTTAACCATTTCAGTTGTAATTAATATTTTAAGTTGGAGAATAATTGTTTTGACTCAGTTTAATGTCTTAGCATTCTACTGTCTTGCTTTGACTTCTCGTATTAAGTATCTACTCTTTGTTTATTGACTGTTTTTAAGTTCCTGTTGAAGTGTGCCTGCATGTCAGATATGAGGTATTATTAAACCTGTGCAGTTTAATCCCACAACATAATATTCCCCATGCTTTTCTTGCCTTTGGAGACTCTTAGCACCAATTTGATCTCTGTTTAAAGGGTTACCTGCCTGGCATTATGATATTCTCAGAACTGCGTTTTCACTTTTTATTGCACCTGAGAGATCTTGTTACTCAGTACCTATTGTGCATGCATCGGTAAGTTAAAAAGTGAAGAGTTTCCTCGGCTGTTTTGAGCACTATATGAATCTGAGACTTTGTTTCCAAAGGGAGTGAGATCCGACCGGCACATGCAACCTGGTCTTTCTTTGCTAACAAGTTTGAACACCTGTTGATTTCCTGACTTGTGGTGTCTGTATAACCATTCTTTCACAAAATGCTTCATTTTCTTCAAGTATTCATTTCTTAACTCCCTATAAAAGATAATAATAGGTAATAAATATGCTGTGTATTTGATGCAAAGTGAGGGCAAGCTGTTGCTAGAATAAGTAAAATTAACTGCAAATCAATGTTTTTTAAGTTTTGCCAAACACATTGGCAAAATATGATTTTCACAAAAAGAGGACATTTAAAAAATAACATTTTATTTGCATTTGTTAGTAGACTCAGAGGTGTTACTGAGTTTGATACTATGTTTTGTTTGCAGCTGTTTGAATAAGTAAGCATTTTCATTCTCTTTTTGGAAATCTAGATCCTTGTATACAAATTTGTGTCATCTTTCAGTGCTCATTTGGGAGATTTTTGTTTCGGTTGGTAAGGTATTTAAAAACAAACAGACAAACAAAAAGAATAACAAAGTGTAAATCTGTGCATGAGAACAATTTTGAATATAAACCAGCAAGTTCATACAATGGCTGAGAAAAATTAGTGCAGGAGGATGTTAGTTTCAGGGGTACAGCAAGTTGTTCTAAAGAATAATTGTAGTTCTGATTCAATTCTGATTACTGAAACTTACCCATTTATGCATACCTCCTATTGTAATATAACTGCAAACTTTGACCTCTCAGTGAGGCATATAGGTAAATTATACTATTTATTGTTCTACCTTATTGAGAAACTGAAGTAGAAAAGCTTTGAAAAAGCTTTGAGGAAGCTGAGAACATAGACTTCAGTAGACAAGTGAACATGCAAGATTATTCTGTTCTCTATCTGAAGAGAAGGTCCTGTAAGATCAGATGGGAAATTCGGGAAAAGGAATGTTGATGATACAGAAGAACATAGTTTGTCACTGTTTATCTCTTTCTTTTTGTTTGGGTTCCTCAAAGAAACAGCCCACAAGACTGACTGATTGTTGGTGTGGTGTTTTTTTCCCCCTGGACTTTCAGCTACTTCCCTTACTTATTTCTCTCCTCTTTATTTTGTACGCAATAGCATTTTCATCAGTATTAGTTTTCCTTATTTATGTGATCACATGCAAGACATAAGAGGGGGCATAAGAACTGAACTCTGCACCAGGTAAGAACTTTTGCCCACAGTGGAAATGCTGCCATAGTAGAGGAAAAAGCCAGAACGGGAGCAGTATTTAATGCACTGAATGCTTGGAGTAATCCAGGGAGTGAGTCTTATTTGCAGTCCCTCTCTGTGCAGTGAGCAGTCTAAACTGTTGGCTTCATCTGTCCGGAATCCCTTTACTCTTGTAATGCTTGCATAGTACTAGCATTAGCATATCCCAATCCAGGGATATTTATTTTGTTTAGATGCCCCTTATGCTCAATTAGCAGCAGTCTATGACATGCCAGCCCATGGCTTTGAATGACAGAAAGTGGCATGATGCAGATATTTAAGAGGATGTACTTCTCCCAGCCTAAAATTGATTTAGGCAGTAGTGACAGGGTGCTATCCACAACCTCTGGATGAGCCCCAGCATGTAGTGAGACTAAGAGTAACCCAAAATCTTTGCAAACAATCTGTAGGTCTGTTCTGTAGGTAGCCTGCTGTGATGCTTGGCTGCTTACATTACATCAGTATGACTGTAATATCCAGATTATTCCCCATTTCCCAGCCATACCAGTGATAAAAAGATTTCCAAATGCCTGCAGCCATTGCATGTGAAGTAACAGATTTCTGGTACACACACAGGTATAGTTTGTAAATCAATGTGATTTTGAAAGGACATATTATGTAGTTGTATTGCCACTTGTCATTGTGTTGTTATGAATCTTACAGTACTTGGTGTTTTCTTAAATTGCTAGCTTCTGAAATTGGGTACTACCAAGAGAAAGCCAGCTTTTTAAAAGTGCAGAAAGTTTGTAATCTTCGTTCTCCTCTAGAAACCCTTTAAAATTTTGACCAGCTCCAAAATAAATTTATAAGAAGCACCTTAAATTTTGAAAATTGACTAAAATGTCTATCATTTTTGGAGAACTGTTTCTGGTTTTCTGAATCACGTACTCTTAATGTTGTCTCATGTCAATGGACTGTAGTATTGCTGTGTTTTTCTGAGTAATGCTTTTTTGAACAGATAAAAATAATTTTAGGAAATAGTTTACGAATCTGTGTCATTAAAGCTAGCATCCCAAAGCATTATTAAATGCCACTGTTTAGCTATTCAGATTTCCACAGATCCTAACCCATATTAATTTTTGCTAAACTGAATTGTGAGTAATATTTCCTGAAAAATACCAGGTTTAGGAGGCTACTAGCTTGTTGATTGTCATTTCCTACTTTCAAGAGAGCTGCACTTTGATGTACATATATAAGCAAATGATACTTTAAAATTTCCAAGTTGCAGAGTGATTATTTTTTGCTTTTTTTCTTTTTAATAGTTTTCTTTTTTTTTTAATGAGTAGTACCCTATTCTTTTTTTTTCCTGCTAAATAAGATTAAAGAAAATTCTAATAGATTCTAGATTCTCTGGGAGGAGAACTGTGTTCTTTCAGCATGCAGTATAGTACTACCTAGTTTACAGTTCTGAGAGTTACTCTGCGATAGAAAATACCCAAATTAAAAATTCCAGTAATAAAACTATAGCAACTGCTGTGTGTTAGACAGCTTTATTTGTAGACTAGTCAAACATGAAGGAGTATATATAATGAAACTTGTTTGCAAAAGTGTATTTTCACTTCTGTAATTGTGATTTTGCAAGCATCTCTTGTTTGGTGCTCTTTTGTGTCTAAGTATCTGGACTTAGACATGGGAAAAGTTTCAAATGGAGTCATTTTTCTGTCAGATGTAGTGGATGGGGTTTTTTGCAGGATTTGTTAATAACTGGTAAAGAGCAAGAGTTTATTGGATGTTATTCATATGGTACTTATTTCCCACTACAAGTGCAAGTGAATACCCTTCTCCAGGAATCTCTTTCAGATATCACAGCCAAGAAATTTTTTATTTCATTTAGTTGGACTATGTTAACTATATATTTACTTTTTCGGTATGAAATTTCTTAAAATTGTCCAGCTTGTATACCAGTATATGCAAGTGTTTACAGATTAGAGTAGAAGTCTATTTGCAGGCAGTTACTAGTGCTAGTTACTTTCTAAAAAAAATTTTGAGATTTTTTTCAGTGATTCGAAAATATCCAAAGCACCAATTTTATCAACAGCTAACATCCAAAGACTACCCTAATGTAACATATGGCTTATATTTATAGTCCTGTACTTGTTACCCACTATGTACAGTCAAACAATAATCTTAATGATACTTTATTAAAAAAAAAAAGTGTAAATATTTAATGTAAACCAAAATGATACTTGAAGGCAACTTGAAATCTGTTCAGTTGTTTTATTTTTTTTTAACATTTCCTCTTCTGCTAATTTGAGTTGGTTTGTAATCACATTTTCTTGCTGCTAAAAAGTATTTTTCTTTTCATCTTTTCAACACTAAAAAGTTCACACAGGGAACAGGGAGCTGACTAACATAATAACTGGGGAAAGAGTGAGGCTAAATTTATTACATAGGTGAAATAATGGACCATGTGTAAACCCTAAACAGCTTCAAACAGAGGTGCTGTGTTACTTTCACTGTGTTTTCCCAGGAAAGCCCTGCTGCCAGCATTCCAGCATGACCCTCTCTGAGGTGAAAAAAGCAGGGACAGAGCCCCTTGGCAGCTCTTCACAAAAGCCCCCAGTGAATGGAGAAGCATTATTGTGTTACCCCAGGCTGACAGTAGCTCTCTGAGTTTACCCAGGCCCAAAATAAATGGAGCTGATGACAGACTGACTTCTGATTTAGTCAATTCATCTGTTTTATCTTTGCCTTGTTCTGTGAAAAAGCTTAAGTGCTGTGGTGGCCAGTACTTTTGTATAGTCCTAGATAGGCTGTGTCTAGAACTAATTGACATGACTCAGTCTTTTGTTAGCAGACTGGATTTTAGTGTTATCTTTTTTGTGTTCTTGCTTCCAGCTTTAGGGTTGGGTTCATGGCACAGTAAGGAGCTTCTCTTCAGAAATTACCTTTTCTATGTAAAAGCATAATTCTTTTGCAATGGTTTTCCCAAAGGTAGAAGCTCAGCCAGAGTAAAATTGTCTCCTCTGTCACTGCCACTGGTTAGATTGACCTGTTTCCAGTTAAGGGACAAGATAATATGTCACATCCACTTAAGAGGATTCACTTGGGTTAGCTACTGAACATAAAAAATAAGTACTGGAAACATAGAAGTAGAAAACAAATTTGTTGTTTTGATGAGTAAATATAGGGCTTGTTTTGTGACAGTTCTCTTATATAATGTCTGGCAATGCCTTTGCCTTTGCCTGGCTGGCATGATAATTTAATTCTTAAAATTCTTAAATTCTCAAATTAGTCTTAAATTCTCAAATCTCTCAAAGAAAATCTGAGGATTTGGTTAGCTCTTTAGAGCTCTGCTTGTGATAAAGATTGTGATTAAGGGGCTGCTGTTAGCAAGAAACTGCTTGTTCAGTGCAGTTCGGGAAATTTTTTATTCATTAAAAGATTTCAGTTTGTACAGTGACAAAGTAAAGGCATACTGATAAGTGGCAAGCCTGAATTTTAATTAATGCATACTTGTATGGCTTCCCCAGTTTTGTTGTCCTTTATAGCAAAAGGAAAGGGCAAAAGTACTGTGGAGGTAAGGAAGGACTAGTTTTCTAGGAAGACTGCTCACTTTCCATTCGCTGAAGCCACCTCTGGGCTTGAGTATAGTTCCCTGTACACAGTTTTACTTGCTGTCATGTAAGACTACTCATGCTTCTGGAGGGCAGCAGACTTGCCCTTGCATAACTGCAGTGATGAGTGAAGTGTACATATATGCATATATAAAAAGATAAAAGGAGATAGCGCTTCACATGCTATACATGCAGTACAAGGATGTGCTGCAGCAAGATAAAGGGTGAAACTTGCTTTCCTGCAGATGGTTTGCACTAGCCCCTCCTTATCGTTTATGGACACCTCCATCTTCTCAGAAGCAAGTGGATGGAGTTGTGGTGCCACTTCAGCTGAGGCTAAATCTCTTCTGTACAAGTCCTGCTGCTTGCATAGGGGCTGTGGGGCTGCTGCCAAATGAGAAAAATCACAAAACATAGTTTTTCTGCTAGGATAGTGAAGTAAATGTGGTGAGTGAGGCTCAAGGCAACTGAGCTGTAAGTAGCCCTTACTCCTTGTGTGCATACAAGGTGGCAATCACTGGCCTCCTTGGGGCATGACAAGCCAGCAGTTGTGATTTCAAAGCATCGTAAATCTGTGGTGGGGTCAGCCCCTTCCACTTACTTTGGGACTCTTCTCAAACACAATTGTCATGCACAGGCTATCCAGTTCTGCAGTGGTGGAAAGGAGCCTTGAGTTCATAAACATAACAGTTGATAGAAAGAACACTGGTATTTCAAGGCTCAAAAATAAGATAGGAACTCTTAATCTCACAGATCCATTTTGCATATTAAATTTTAGAGGAAAAATGAGTTTTTGCATCTCTCATTTGCTGCTTTTTGAAAGGTCCTGGGTGTAAGAGATGTGTAAAAGAGGCATTATGCCTCTCTGAGGGTTGCTATATTTTAACAGTTTTCTGCTTTTTATCTGCTTCTAAGATGGCAGAGCTTCCCAGTCCCTAGTAACTTGATAATTTTTTTCCATAAATATAAACAAATGATCCATGCCAACATACAAACAGACCTTTTTTGTAGCCACTTTAATTATAGGAAATACTGCAGTATGAAAGATTCTTTCCTTTAGCATAATGGGACAGAAGAATACAGACAAAATGTAACAGAGTAAATAACTAGGGTTTAATGTGGGAAAACAACATTTTTTTCAACCACCATAATAACAGATTTTAAAACTATTAAATTTTTCCAGGAGTTGAATTATTTAGGTAAAACAAAAAAAGACATCACTGTGCCTTTTTTGGTCATTTACAAGTTTTTCCAAAACTTACCTGGAAAGGTTCATCATGAGTATAAGTATCTAAGATCTTCCTTCTTAGTAATAAGGTGGTATTCATGAAAACTGTAAGTTATGAAAAGTATCTAAATACTTGTGGCTCCTTGTGACAGTATTTAGAGCCAAGAATGCTGTCATTGTATTTCTGGTAGCATGCTGCTTTAGTCAATGCTAGACTGTAACATATGAAGAATTTAGGAAAGCAGTGGCAATTTTTTTTATTTTTTGTTTAAATCAATTTTGTGCTTCCAGTTAGAGGCAGGTTCTATTATTATGTGAAGTTTTGATACAACAAATGTGGTACTTGCTGAAATGTCACTTCAAACTTTGTCTCATAAAGACACTGTACTAAGAAACTGTTCTCCTGTTTCAGTTGTATTAGTAGGGGTTTAGGTATCAACTGCTAAAACTTTACATGTTTAGGAGACTCACCAGGATTAAATATGTTGTAGATGGGTATTTCCTGGTCTGTGATTTTTTTTTTTGTTTGTTTGTTTGTTTGCTTTTTAATAAACTGCTTTTTTAGTGAAAAAAAAACAACCCTGTTTTTTAATAAAGCTTATCTCAGTAGAAATTTGTTCTGGTTAACTCACAACTGATCCCTATGTGAGTTTCAAAGATGAATCTAGGCAAGCTAAGGCATGATGGAAAGTGAGCAGGTCAGAGGTGAACCTGCCCTGTGACTGCCCTGTTCTGTACCTGGTGGGTGTGATGTGCTGTAACAAGGGACCACCACGTCATCTGGGTCTTCAGCCCAGGGGGACACTGCTGTGCTAGAGCAAGCCCAGGTTCTGCCTGTTGTTCTCTCTGTTTGCCTGCTCCAGGTGTTGGAAAGGAGCTGCACAGACTATAGTACCATCTCCAATCACCAGCAGTGGAGCAACACTGAACCAAGCTAATTTTGTTTCTGATTCTCTAGAAACAAAATTTAAACAGCCTGCTGCTTTTATCAAGTTGTAGTCCATTAACATATGGCCAGCTGATGAAAATGAGCTGGTTGAATGCTTGTATAAGATCCCACAGCAAGACAATACCATCAACTAAACCTTCAACTCAGAACTCCAGTAAGGCTGCTGGTTTATGCAAAATGAAGTCAATGTTAATTTTGTTCTGGAATAAACAGCCAAGCCTTACAGGAAATACATATGGTTAACTGCAATGTCCTAACCATCTCACTACATCAGTCACATTCCTCAGATATGTATGTCCAGGAGTATTTTTTGATGCATGTAAAGATGTGTGGCTTTTAATTGAATTTGTTCACATGATTTAGAGGACCTGTAAAAGCAAGCACTAAGGTATTTAAACCAGGCTATCTGATTTGTGTTCAAGGTTGACTGTAGAGCCTTAAAGCAGTTGTTTTACCCAGGGTTACAGACAATTTCATGCTGCCATCTAACATACCAATATTTTCATAAACATTTTATGATTCTGATTTTTGTGATCAGAATAAGCAGTTATAGCAGGGACGTCTTTTCCTAATGACCAAGAGTAAAATGAGTAGCAATAATGATGATTTACTTGCCATAAATAAAGTTTAAGAAGAGGACTTCAAACTTGGTAGTTAGAATTTCATAATAAAATATGGTTCTCTTTTTCTATACTGATACCCATGAATAGATTCAGAACCCCTACACCAGTTGGTATTTAAAAAGTTATTTCAGTTACAGGGACTAGATAATGAAGGTGTCAGATATTTTTTCCTACTCTTTCCCAATGTAGTGGTTTATACTGAGCATTGTAAACTATAAACGGAAGGGTTATTTTATGTAGGAACAATGACTTTTCATTATATATTGCCCCCCGCCCCCTTTGGTGCTTCAGAGGATCATCGAAATGAAGAGCAATTTTTAGAAACTGAGGATGTGATTCATGTGTACTTGCTGGCACAAGGAAACAGCTGATTTTTTTCAAAGCTGGTCAGAAAAAAGGAAGGATAAACATCGTAGGTTTCGTTTCGTTTATACTCTTCAGCAGCATTTCTAAAAACTTCACCCCTGGGACATGGAAAAAGTACTGCAACTCCAACGAGTGGAAGGCACAGTAGAGCTTAGTGTAAGAAAAAAAGAAATAGCAGGATAGTGCTCTTTCACTAATAGAGTAAAAAAGGGTCTCTGGAAGAGAGACAGATAAAAAGCAGGCTGCTGGATAGACATTGTGAACCTGAGAATCTTTGAGTATGTTTAATGAAAAATTTCCAAGACAGACTAGAAAACTGATTTTTTTTATACACGTAATAGTATTTTGAGTAGTTGATGAGTTTGCCAAACTTTATTGTCACCATGATAAGTAATGACAAATACAAGGAACATTTGAATTTGCATTTTTAAAGATTTGATAAATTAAAAAAAAAAAATAAAAAGTTGCTTTGTGCTTCTGCAAATGGTTATGGAAATGTGCTGCTGCTGGCTTTACAGGTGGTTGGTGGTGTTGAGTATGTCAGCAGTAGTGTGATGCTTGGCTGTTGCTGGTAAGCTTTATGGCCACAAAAGGTGACTTTGTTACCTCCTATACAGTGGGGACATCCTGATACCTTAAAAAAGATGGGCAGCATCAGTGTCTCCAACACTTTGGTTTTGGCTGTGCTTTCCCCGTGCACAAAGGGACCTCCTGTAAAAGTACACATGAAACAATGTTTTCAGTTTGGTAGCTAGGGTGAATGAAACACGACATAAAATAATTGCATTTGAAGGTTAATTATGAGCATGTTTGTAAGGATGTTTCTTCACTCTTGTTATTTGAATTAAACTGCTCACTTCTTTGAGGTCCAATAGCAGCATCTCAGAACCAGGGGGACACACAGGTACTAGAGACCTTGCAAAAC